TCAGTCCCGCTACACCCCAACAGAACCACGTGTCCATGGGCATCCAGGGTTCCATCAAGAACCAATCAAAGGAAAGTACTGAAGAGGATCCATCACTGACTGGTCTGTTTGTCAGGGCTCTGTGCTTCAATGTGTTCATAATAAAAAAATTGTCTTGTAAATTGGGTGTCCTATGAAATTTTTTTTTTTTTTTTTCAAACCCTGGCAGTTTATTTTTTAACTATGAAGTCCCCTTTTTTTAACTTAAATTCTTATGCCATATCTTCACTTTAGAAAGTCATTTACTCAATTTTTGCTTGTTCCAAAATAACCAGATGCAGCAAGTAAAGTATAAAATGTAGACCCTGACGCCCAACTAGCTTCTATACCCTCCAGCAGGACTTAGCAGATGAGCGTAGCCTCGTTCAGATCATGGCAGAGCGGGAAGTTTAGTGCATCCTCAATTTTTTTTTTCCCAGTGGCCTTCAGAAAGCTCAAGTCTCCTCCAGTAAATGTCATTTAGACATTCTAATCTCTTTAACTGTATAAAAAGTTTGATACAAGTAATGGAAAAGTCTTTTACACGCTTTTTTTGACTGCAGAATATTTGCCATTTAAATACTGCAACATGTGAAATTTGTCTTATAATCAAGTTTGTCTGGGATGTAATATTTGCAACTTGTCTATTTCTACATTTAAAATTATGGCACGATCCATTGACTGTAACGGACAAATTCTATTTTTAATTCAAATGTCTAAAATCTTTGTCCTGTAATACCAGTTAACTAAAAGCAAAATTATTCTATGAACATGAAAATTGGCAGAAATGGTGATAAAATCCTGTATTAAGCAGGAACCACAAATCGCATCCCTGAAGTGTTTTTTTTCCCTCTTTCATTACATTTAAATTATTTTTCCTCTTAACAGGATTTCAAATGTATCCAAAACACTTGATCAAAATAAAATAGATTGGATAAATCACTTCATTCACTTCTGTAGCTTTGGAAACATTTTCTGTTTGTTTCCAGCGAAATATAAAAACAGTTCAAAAGGACTATTAAACTAATTTACTAATCTTACAGGCGACCTTCTTGCTGAGAGGCATCAGCTCTACCAACTGAGCCACTGTGCTGCCAGTGGAGTAAACAAATGAGGAAAATTTGTAAATGCAACAGAGAAAGACCCCGGGTTCAACCCCAGGACCTTCCTGCTTTGAGGTGTCAGTGCTAACCACTGATCTGAGCCCCTCTGAGTGTGCATTCTGTRGAAGTGCACATAAGGGTTTGAGTTTGCAGATTACAAGTGTGCAAAAATGGAGACTTGGGACCGTACTGGATGATATTTGAACTGCGACAAATGATAGTAAATCTACAACAAGCAATCCTTTTTTGATGAAGCACATAAACCGAAGAAGGCTTATACACCAGAGTATAAAAACTTCTATCCACAAGTTTCTGTAAAAGCGAATGACCATGACTGCTAGCCCCTCCCTCCGGTTTCATATTTCCGGTGCGCAAAGCAAGAACCAGATATTCATTCATTCAGAGTTATAACAACAAAACCAGTTTGTTTTTGCTCTAACTGGCAGCTTGAGCAGTTCAATCACGAGTCCAGGTTTAACTTGTGTTTTTGTCGGCTGCCACAACAATTGAAGAAAACGAACGCTTTACAAACTTAATCCAGTGAAGGTCAATGTGTCTAGATTTGATAAATCTTAAATTTTCTTAGTGACTAGACACCTTATTTTACGTCTCTTCAGACATACCTGACATGTTTCGACACATGCTTCCATCTTCATCAGAGGTGTCACAGCTGATGTTGTTTGGAGACATCCTCCAGCAGTGAAATCAGCAGGAGACGGTGTCGGCTTGTCAATATATACGGTGATCCGTCGTTTTTCGCGAGGGTTGCGTTCCAAAAACAACATCCGTGATAGGCGAAATCCATGACATAGTTAAGCCGGTACACCGGGTTTCCACCGAATGCGTTTTGAGCAGCAAAAATGCGCCCAACGCCTTGGACGCACTTGGGTTCGGTGTTGAACGCAGCAGCAGATTAAACGCACGTCTGAAGAGGGAGGAACACCGGTCTGTCTTTAATGACGGGTGAAATAAAGATAAAATAAATAAAATGGCTTTGCTTTATTTACTAAAGAGCAAGCGAACGTTGTGCACACCAGATAATTAACTCACCAGATAATTTAGAGGCGGTTTGTTCGGTTAGTTTCACCACTCCAGGAGCTGCGAGCTGACAGACATTTTTTTTTTCCACTGGCAGTGCCTGCTGTAAAGCAGGAGGAAAGGAGAGCGGAAAAAGTCCAAAACAGGTTGGAAGATGGTTATTTGGTGTTATTTATTGTTTTTAAATCATCCTACAGTCTCTGACATGTTGATAGCCTGTTGAGCACAGAGACTGTTTAGCCAATCAGGACGAAGAACACAATGCACTGTGGAAAAAAAAAAAAACTGCACAAAAAAATCTGTGAAGCAGCGAGACCGTGAAAGGTGAACCACATTATAGTGAGGGATCACTGTATTGATAAGCTGACACCGGCCATGATGAATAAATAGAAACCTCTGACTGCTGTTGTAAATAAAACTGTTAAATAAATGTGTCACATTACAGCCCAGCTTCCTTTTTTTAATCATCCTAACTGGAAGAATGGAACATGAATATACAGACTTTTAAATAATATACAGGAAGCTCAGTTCACACATATTAAACTGTGAGTTTAATAGATTTTCCTCCTAATGTTACAAACAAGAAATTCTGTCTAAACATCTTTAAAACATCGACAGTCAAAAGAATCCAAGAACAAAAGACCCACAGTTACAAGACCTAAATGAAACATAACTGTTTGTTTCTTATAATAATTCTGTAATTACTTGTTAAATATCTAAACATGTTTTTAAATGACAATAAGACATTATCACATTACATTTGGATAGAAATTATATTTTTATTTGTGTAACAATTGCTCAAATGTGTGTCTTCCAAACAAGACATTAAGCTAAGTTGAAAAACATGGATTCTATGACGAGACATGGGATTGGGAGAAAGCATAAAAAAATCCTAAAGATAAGTTGTTGTTGGTTTTGAAAAGAATTCCAGTTGTTTTCAAATCAAAACCATCAATAATGCTTTTTATTGTTCAGAAATTTAAAAAAGATTTTTGCTGAATCAGTTTATAAAGTTGAATGTTTAAAGGTTATTTGTTGTTGGAACTGTCTGGCCACTTAAATAGGCACAATCATATAATATCTATATCTATATTGTCTCATATTCAGTGAAACAAATGCAATGCTATCATGTCTGTTATATAGTATTTTACAGAATATGTTCATTCATGTGTGTAAGGAAAAATGAGAGCAACCAAAAGGAGGTATGTTTGGATCTTTTATCTGCTTCAGATACTCAGACCCATTTTCCATACAGGTTAAAAAACAAATCTTATTTTCACAAAGCAGCCAGGTCAGCTTCTACAGCAGCAGACTGAATTGTTGAGTGACTCTTCAAGTGATGTGTCAGTCTGTGTCTTCGCCCAAAACTTTTGCCACAAGTGCTGCAACTGAATGGTTTTTCTCCTGTGTGGACTTTTTTGTGTTTCAAAAGACCTGATCGGTCAGAAAACCTTTTGCCACAAATAAGGCAGACCTCAGGTTTTTCTCCTGTGTGGATTTTCATATGGGCCCTCAAATGTGAATTTTGGCTGCATTTTTTGCCACAAATGCCACACTCATAAGGTTTCTCTCCTGTGTGTGTTCTTGTGTGTAATCTAAGTTCTGCCGGTCTGCGAAATGTTTTACCACATATAGAACAACAAAAAGGTTTTTCTACTGAGTGGACAACCTTATGATTAACAAGAGCTCCTTGAGTACCAAATCCTTTTCCACACTCATCACACACATATGGTTTCTCTTTGGTGTGTGTTCTTTTATGCATCTCAAAGTTTGAGCTAGTTGTAAAACTTTTACCACAATCACTACAGTCAAACAGTCCCTCTCCAGTGTGTACTCGCATATGATTCTTGTGAGATTGTTTTCCGCGAAACCTTTTACCACAAACATCACAGCTAAAAGGTTTCTCTCCAGTATGAGTGCGCATGTGTATATGAAGAGCTGATCTAGATAGAAATCTTGTCCCACAATCACCACAGGGAAAGGGACTTTCTCCTCTGTGATGTTTCATGTGTCTATTTAAATATAACTTTGCATAAAAATTTTTCCCACATTCATTACAGGCAAAGAGTCTTTCTCCTTTGTGAATTTTTATATGTCCACTAAAACTAGCCTTGCAATTAAATTTTTTTCCACAATCCCCACAGCAAAATGGTTTCTCTTCAGTGTGGGTTCTCATGTGTATTTGAAGACGTGATTTCTGCTGAAATCTTTTACCACAGTCCTCACAGCTAAAGGGTTTCTCTCCAGTGTGCACTCTCAAGTGTGCACAAAGTTGTGATTTGAAAATAAATCCTTTTCCACAATTCTTACAATTAAATGGTTTCTTTTCCAAATGATTACGCATGTGTACATTAAGACCTGACTGAAAACTAAATCTTCTCCCACAGTCACTGCATGTGAAGGGTTTATCCCCACTGTGGACTACCATGTGCATTTTTAAACCTGACTTGTGATAAAATCTTTTCTCACAGTCACTGCAGCTGAAGGGTTTATCCCCACTGTGGACTGCTATGTGTATGTTTAATCTGTATTTGCGATTAAATATTTTCCCGCAATGTTCACAGAGAAATTGTTTCTTTTCATTGTGGGTTCTCATGTGTCTCTTAAGACCTAACTTTGTTTTAAAGCTTTTCCCACAATTAGTAGAACTAACTGGTTTTCCTACAGTGTGGGTTTTCATGTGTGCTCTAAGGTTTAATTTAGAACTAAATCTTTGTCCACAGTCCCCACAGTTAAATGGCTTCTCCAAAGTGTGATTTTTGAGATGTGTCTGAAGAACTGAATTACAGCTAAATCCTTTTCCACATGTCTCACAGTTAAATGGTTTCTCCTCTGTATGGATACACATGTGAACATTAAAACACCTCTTAGAAATAAACCTTTTCCCACAATCACTACAGGCAAAATATTTATCACATCTGTGAACTTTCATGTGTCCATTTATATCTGACTTACTAGGAAATCTTTGTCCACAATCCTCACAGCTAAATGGTTTCTCTCCAGTGTGGGTTCTCATGTGAGTTTGAAGACTTGATTTCTCATCAAAACCTTTTCCACAGTTATCACAGCGAAACGGTTTTACCCCAATGTGAATTCTCGTGTGTGATCCAAGGTTTGACGCGCTGTTAAATTGTTTCCCACAGTCTCCACAGCTGTATCGTTTCTCTCCAGTGTGAATGCTCATGTGTATCTTTAACTGTGAGCTTTGAACAAACCTTTTATCACAAATATTACAGCCAAAAGGTTTCTCTCCAGCATGGAGTTTCATGTGTGTTTGAAGACATAAAAGTTGAGCAAATGTTGTACCACACGTTTCACAGCAGAATGGCCTCTCTACTGAATGAACACGCTCGTGTCTCGTAAGAGACCGTTTATGGAGATACTGTTTGCCACACTCAGAGCAGACGAAGGACATTTTGGCAGTATAATTCACACCTGGCACAGGTCCAACGGGCAGCTTCAAACCTTTATCGTACTGGTTTGTTTCAGATTCAGAATGTGGGGATTTCAGCTCATCATCACTCATATCAGTTTCAGAAGAGCCAGAATCATTGGCACCATCGGACTTACAGGTTGATTCTTGCCTTCCCTCCCCATCCGTCTCTACTTTCACCTGTTTAACTGAGCAGCTGGCCTGATCTTCTGTTTCTCTGTTGTCTGTAGTTAGGATTTGATGAAGGACCAGAGACCGAGGTTTCTCCTCATCATCTTCAGTCTTCACAGCTTCCAGGCTGACCGAGGAGCCGAGTTCTTCATCTTCAGTTTTGATCTGCACGGTCTCTGGGTCCTCTTTGTCTAAACTTGAACCCCAGTGAAGCTCCTCTGTACCAGACAGAACTGAAACACGTGGAAACAGTAAATTTGAGAACTATTTTACACAACCCTCTGTAGATTTAATATCATTTAATGCACAACTTGGTTAATGCTAAGAATTCTATTCAGATGTGGATTTATTTATCAGCCTAATTTGAATTCTGATTTTAAATCAAACTCACTGGACTCCTCATGATGAAGGTTTCTCCTCTGAGACATCCTCACACTGCTCATCTTCCTCCTCATATTCCTTGTTTGCTCAGAGATGGATATGAAGGACTTTAATTTCCAGGGTGGTGTTGTGTTGCATCGGTCTTCTCTGTTCCAGCTGCGTCAAACTGCAACACAAATATCAAACATTTGTTATGTGGAAACTCTGAGTATACAGACTGCAGTCTGCAGACTGTTCTTCAGGTTTAAAACCCATAGAGATAAATATAAGAACTAGAGTGAGTCTTGACCAGGTTACCATGTGATCTATTGTAGAAGCTGTGGTGCTAAGCAGAACAGGCAAGAGTCTGAATTTACCATCACAGTATGTGTTGGTGATATAGAGGGAAAAAGGATTGATGTACAAATCATAAAAAATGTCAATAATAACAAAATTATTAATATTTTATAGGGATGTAAGAAAATATCAATACACTGAAATATCGCGATATTTCATTTCCCGAAACTGTATCGATATTCTAAAGCCCTATATCGATTTTTAATTAAGGTTTAAAATGTCAACCTTCTTGCCAACCGCTCATTTTTATGTTGTAGTTCAGCCTCTGACCACTAGTTGGCAGCATTGAGCCAGCCATTTGGCTCCTCTACCTCTTGAGRGCCAGAGAGTAAGGGTAGCATTAGAATTGTAAGTAAACGTTAGTTTTTCTTTTTCAGTAAGAGGTTTTTATTTAATAGAATTTTTGGACAAAAAAATCGCAATATATCGCAATATATTGCCTTGCTTACAGTATCCCAATATATCGGGATGTATCGTATCGTGATCCCTCTGTTATGATATGTATCGTATCGCCAAATTCTTGCCAATACACAGCCCTAATATTTTAGAGTGCATGTCATCTATCTAATGTGCCGTATTTATTCATGTATAATACGATCTTGAGTAGGGATGAAAACAATTAACTGACTTACGATTAATTGTCGAATAATGGTTTATTAGATTACAATTTCTTCCATTCCATTAATTGAAAACATCCGTTTAAACCTTATTTCAGTGTAGCTTTGCCTTCATCCAGTAGATGGGGCTGCTGCTCTATCAACCTGGCCTTACTCTAAACCCGGCCCGGTTGAGTTGAGCAGAGAGCCGGCTGCCTCCATAATTAAACACGCAAATCTTGTTTAGTTTTATTTGCGACACAACAATAATAATGGACTACACAAAACTCGAAGGAAAAGTGCCAAAGGCTGTACAGGAATATCCAGCAGTATGACGCTAAAGACGAGAGCAGGACGACAGCGAGCACGGTAAGCTAATTTTAGCTTCTTTTTGTAGTGTTTAACTGTGTGAAATAACAAAACAAAACAAAACAAAAAGTTAGTCACTATAATTAACATGAAGTTAATCTCATCTGTGTGACGTAAACCGGCCAGTGAACAAATCAAATGAACAGTAACTTGACGTCGGATCATGCAGCAGCATGAACCACAGGGAATGTAAACAAACAGTTCCAGTACTCATTTGTACATTCACCCCTCTCAGGTCATGTTCATAGTTTGTTTTTGAGTAAATCTTTAGATTAAAATGTTACCCTGTGTTTAAATGTTAGTTTTACATTTCTCTGTTCAGGGTGGATCAAGTGTTTTACTCTTTTTTCTTTCCTTTTCTTTAATTAGAAACCTAATAGATTCCTCTTTTGTTATATTTTGTAAATATGTCCAAGTTTAGTAATGTGTGAGAAATCCACAATTTTCTGTTTATTCAGTTAGTGTTAAATACAGCTGGCACTATACATTTTATAAAATATAATACTGTACTTTTTTAATGTGGTGTGTAAAAATTAGCCTTTGTCACAGAAAGACCCTTGATTCAAGACAAATGTCAAGTTTTGCTTATCAATTAATCGTTAGTCGATCGATAAGATCAATCAACTTTAGATTAATTCATTAATCGATAACTTGCATCCCTAATCTCGAGTATAATATGATAATCATTTTTTTAGCTTAAAAAGCATAAAAACTTTAATCATCAACAACCCGTGTATAATACTACCCCACCCCCACCCCCCCAACTTTATGGATGATTTTAGGGTTAAATTTCAAGTATTATACATGAATAAATACAATAAAACTGTCAGAAAGCTGTGTATGTTATGGATTAACTAACAGAAGAGAAACAGGAAAATGTCTCATCTCACAAGTAAACAGATTTTATCTTATTTACCTCGATGCGTATGTGATCTGACCAGAACTGAAGTAATAATGTAACAGTTTAACATTAAAATTAACTTATAAAGACAATATCACTGTTATTTTTTGAAATGGTTAGCAGATGTTAGCTTGTGTAGCATACTGTTATACAGAGTGTAGCACTGCTGAATAATGCCAGTTTTTCCCCTACCATTATACAGGCGGGGTGCTCCCCGTACG